CAATTCTCTGCAACTATCAGGGGGTCTGTAAAAATCCTCCAACAAAGTGACTGTTCCTTTCTTGTTCCTGACCTCAACCCAAACTGACTCTGTAGACATATCATTCTCCAACTGCCTTTGAGAAGCTGCTATACTAGCCCTGACTAAGCAATGCCACTCCCCTGCCTGTTTTACCACTCTCCCCATTTCTTTTAAAGCATCTAAATCCCGGAACTTCCAACAACCATTCCTGTCCCCGAGTTACCCAAGTTTCTGTGATGGCCACATCATCGTATTTCCAAGTATTGACCCATGCTCTAAGTTGATCCGCCTTATTTCTGATACTTCCAACATCGAAGTATACACACTTCAAACCATCCCTGTGTCCACAATTTCACTCCATTGACCGCATTTCTTTATTAACAACCTCACTCCCTGTTGTGTCTGTTGGAAGGCTGAATACCTCATCCTCTGAATTACAAATCTGGCTCCCCACCCCCTGCCAATCTAGTTTAAACCATCCCGTCTCGCTTGAGCAAACCTCCCTCCCAGGATACTTGTGCCCTTCCAGGTCAGGTGCAACCCGTCCTTCATGTACAGGTCCCACCCTCCCTAGAATGAGCTCCAATTATCCACATAATGGAAGCCCTCCCTCCTACACCAACCCTGTAGCCACATGTTTAGCTGCACTCTCTCCCTATTTCTTACCTCGTTATCACATGACTCTGGTAGTAATCCAGAAATAACTACCCTGTTTGTCCTGGACTTCAGCTTCCACCCTAACTCCCTAGACTCGTTTTTCACTTTCTCAGTCCATTTTCTACCTTTGTCATTGGTACCGGTGTGTACCATAACTGCTGGTTGCTCACCCTCCCCCTAAGGATCTTGAAGATACGATCCAAGCCGTCATGGACCCTAGCACCCGGGAGGCAACATATCATCCGTTTGTCTGGTTTGCGTTCACAGAACTGCCTGTCTATGCCTCTAACTATTGAATCCCCACCACAATTGCTCTTCTATTCTCCCTGCTTCCCTTCTGAGCCACAGAGCCAGATCCTATACCAGAGACCCGGTCCCCGTGGCTTACCCCGGTAAATCATCCCCCCCAACAGTATCCAAAACAGTATACTTATTGTTGAGGGGAACAACCACAGGGGATGCCTGCACTGACTGTTTCCTTCCCTTCCCTTTCCTTACTCTCACCCAACTGCCTTCATTCTTAGGGGTAACAATGTCCCTGTAGCTAATTTCTATCACCACCTCAGCCTTCTGAATGATCCTGTGTTCATCCAGCTCCAGCACCCTAGCACGGTCTTTGAGGAGCTGGAGCTGGGTGCACTTCCCACAGGTGAAGTCAGCAGAGTCACTGCTGTTGACTCATACCTCCCACATCCTGCAGGAGGAACATTGCACTGCCCTGACTGCCATGCCCTCTAAATTTAAACTTCCCCGAAAGATTTCTAAAAATTAGAGAATAACTTACTTACACCTTTATTCTTAGGTTAGAGAAGGTGGAAGGGTGGGAGGCACCACTCTTGTGGGGTCTCGGATTTTGATTCCGCCCAAATTATATTTCCCAGGGGTCCTCTTGCCCCCAACTCCTCCTCCTCCGCTGCGAAAAATGAAGGCCCTAAAGCACTAACGGTAAGTTATTAGCTGCAGACTCACGAGGTAAGTCTTTTAAACTGATCGGAAATATTGATCAGAGTTACCAAACTGATAGCAATGTGATGGAGGAGGATTTCCTGGAATATGAGGGATGGTTTCCTTGACCAATATGTCGAGGTACCAACTAGAGAGGAGGCCATCCTAGATTGGGTATTGTATAATGAGAGATGATTAGCAACCTTGTGGTGAAGAGTCGGGAAGTGTGACCATTTCTTTCTTTGGGGGGGGAAGAGTGACCATTTATACGGTAGAATTCTTCATTAAGATGAAGAGTGACACAGTTAAATCTGAGACTAGGGACCTGAACTTGAAGAAAGCTAACTTTGATGGTATGAGACATGCATTGGCGAGAATAAGCTGATCAAGGATATTTAAGGGTTTGACAATGTATAGGCAGGGTGGCATGGTGACTCAATGGTTAGCACTGCTGCCTCACAGTGCAAGGGATGCAGGTTCGTTTCCACCCTTGAGCGACTGTGTGGAGTTTGCACATTCTGCCCGTGTGTGTGTGTGGGTTTCATCCGGGTGCTCTGGTTTCCTCCCACAGTGCAAAGATGTGCAGGCTAGGTGAATTGGCCATGCTAAATTGCCCATAGCGTGCAGGGATGTGTAGATGAGGTGGATTTATAGGGGGATGGGTCCGGGTAGGATGCTCTGAGGCTCAGTGTGAACTTGTTGGGCCAAAGGCCTGTTTCCACACTGTAGGGATTCTATGAAATGGCAGACATATAAAGTTTCATGGGTAAATTTAAACAATTATACTTCCCTGTCTAGTGTAAAACATGGAACATGGCTCAACCATGGCTAACAAGGGAAATTAGGGATAGTGTTAAAGAGGAAGCGAATAAACTGGTCAGAAAAAACAGCAAACCCAAGGTCTGGGGGAAATTTAAAATTCAGTAGGGGAGGGCAAAGGGTTTAATTCAGAAGGGGAAAATGGAATGAGAGTAAGCTTGTGGAAAATATAAAAACTGACTGCAGAAGTTCCTATATATGAAGAGAAAAGGACTGGTGAAGCCAAATGTAGGTCCCTTACAGTTAGAATCAGGTGAATTCATAACAGACAAAGAGAAAGCAGACCAGTTGAACAGATACTTTGGATCCGCCTTCATTAAGGAGGACACAAATAACCTTTTGGAAATTCTAGGGCACAGAGGGTCAAGCACGAAGGAGGAACTGAAGGAAATCCTTATTAGTCAGGAAGTGGTATCACTGTCTTCTAGGATGCCAGCAGGTTAAGTATCCTGACCGCAGACCCCAGCCAGTGCAGGCAGCACCTTAAGGCCTTCAAGTTCCTGTGATGTGGGCAAGATCTCAGTGATCGTATCCACCTCTGCCTCGGAGGTGCTGGTGGACTGTGGGGGCGAGTTCGTGTCCTCCTCCCTTAGCAAGGAGGGAGAGGAGTTTCTGGGGGACACTAATCCCTCATTCCCAGGGGAGGCGTTGTTAGTGCTGGACTACCCTGTCTATCCAACCCTGAGGAGTGGTGCCTTTTTTGGGAGGATGGGGGAACAAGTGATGCCTCTATCTCTCCACTGTCCTCCCTTTTTCCATGTCCCTCATGGGTTTTGGGGCATGTGGGGGGGCGAGGGGAAACTGGGGCACCACCTGCTCACTCATGATTTTATGATCATTGGCCCCTGGGTTGGGCCCCAAATTCCATGTCTTACTGATGGGCCCAGGATCACTATCACAGTCCAGGCTGGGGACCAATGGCCTCAGGGTCCCTGAGGAATCCTCCTGGGAGGCCGTCCCAAATACTTAGTCTTCCTCTGGGCTTTACTCCCCTGTAGACGCTCTCTTCCCACCCCACTGGTGTCTGTAAGTGAAATGGCTCCCTCCAGCAGGGGGTGGGGTGTTGCAAGGGGAGTGATGATGCCAGCTGTAGCTGCTCAGGTGTTGGCAGCAGGCTTCGAGGCAGGGCAGTTCCTCCTCCTTGACACTGCACACCCTCCACTGTCCAGAATACTCAGTAAGCAGCACCCTTGTGCTCAACCGTGAAGGTGCCCTCCGTGACCTCCTCCTGGGCCAGGCACATGAAAACTTGTCAACGGAAGGAGTAAGCATGTCTCAGGTGGGTCTCCTTCAGACCAAGTAGTAGCAGCACCATGCCTAACGTCACCTCCCCGAGTTAGCGGAGATGGGGGAGGAGGAGGTCAGATGGAACAAAGGGCTGGATGTTTGATAAAATGACCCTCTGAGAAACTACTTCCAGAAGGTCGACAGATAACAATGTCCCACTGACAGTAAGCCCATTCTCCAGGGCTGCTCAGTCCTCAGGAAGAATGCTGCCTTCCCATACATCTTCGATGCAGTGACAATGGTGGGAGTGCTGACTACCCCCACCAAGGCCACTGCGCATGTCTCAATGATCATATCAGGGTGAATATAACATTTCACCCTGAGCTGTTTTGTTAAATAAGTAAAAGATGACAAGAGCCCCTGTGGGTGGATGAGGACGGAACCATCTACACTTGGAACAACTGGACCCCACCCTGGATGTTATCATAGAATAGAAACATATAATCATAGAATCCCTACAGTGTGGACACAGGCCCTTTGGCCCAACAAGTCTACACCAAACCTCAGAGCATCCCGCCCCGACCCATTCCCCTGTAACCGACCTAATCTACACATCCCTGAACACTATGGGCAATTTAGCATGGACAATTTAACTAACCTGCACATTTTTGGACTGTGGGAGGAAACCGGAGCACCCGGAGGAAACCCACGCAGACACAGGGAGAATGTGCAAACTCCACACAGACAGTCACCCGAGGGTGGAATCGAACCCAGGCTGCTGGCGCTGAGGCAGCAGTGCTAACCACTGAGACACCATACCGCCCCACTCAAACCAGGACCAATACCTCCTCCCTCACAAATAGAAGGTAAAGGAAACTGAGAGTGCACCATGAGGCTTCACTTGCCTCAGGCAGCAGTGTCCTGACCTACCACCCAACCCACAGGTTCAAAACCATTGTTCCCCAAAGCCCAGAGGCAATAGTCACTGGCAGCAAATAGCCCACAGTCACAAAGTAATAATAGGGAGATGGCCCAGTCTCCGAACAGTTCCAGGACCTAGACTCCAAAATACAGTCGCTTACTGAGAGTGTTCAGATTCAAGCAACTAATATCCAGGCCCGAATCTCCCAACTGAAGTAGTCGTCAGGCTCCAGAAACAAGCCTCCTCAGCATCTGCCAAACAGAATGGCAGGTCACCACACTTCTTAGGATGGCTGCAGGAAATCCCAAGCCTTAGTCCTTCCAGGCAGGCAGGCTAGCCACAGTACCCAAGGTCTAAGGCTCTAGGCCCCAATCCTCAGTAGGTGTGATTAGAGCAGTCTTCAACTCACCAAGAAGAAATGCAGGCTTCCAAAAGTAACAGCAACAAAGAATCCCAGGTTCGAGTCCCTCCAAGCAAGCAGGCTACAAGCACCAGAGGCTCTAAGCTCTAGGCCTCAAACAGCTCCAGCAGCTGTCAGTTGCAACTCCAGCCTCCAAGTTCCTATTACAGCAACAGAGTGCAAACTCCCACTACACTGCCCTCTACAGGGAAAACAACCCTTCACCACCACCCTCAATCTCCTACCTCATAGCCAATTTTGTATCCAAATAGTTACCTCTCCCTGTATTCCATGTGGTTAACAAGGTATGCATGCTTGACAAATCTTCTGGAATTTTTTGAGGATGTGACCAGGAGAGTGGACAAGGGTGAATTAGTGGATGGTCTTTCAAAAAGCTTTTGACAAGGTCCCACACAAGATTAGTAAGCAAAGTTAAAACTCACGGTGTCAGAGGTAATGTATTGACATAGATAGAGAACTGGTTGGCAGTGACAAGTGGGGTACACAACAGCTTCCTGTGGTAGAGAAATCCACGGGTTCCAAATTCTTGAGATAGGAAGAATTTCTTTACTCAGTCCTGAACGTCTTATGTTTTATTCTTAGACTGTGACCCTTAGTTCTGGACTTCCACAAATCGGGAACATTCTTCCTGCTTCTAGCCTGTCCAGTCCCATCAGGATTTTGTCTCTGAGAGGCCCCTCATTCTTCTAAATTCCAGGGCTACAGGATAACTTAGACTGGCTGAGTGGGCAAATACTTGGCAAATGCAATATAATGTGGATAAATGTGAGGTTATCCACTTTAATCACAAAAACAGGAAGGCAAATTATTATCAGAATAGTGGCAGTTTAGGAAAAGGTGAGGTGCAACAAGATCTGCATGTCAAAGTGGAACAGTTGCTGAATGTTGGCATGCAGGTGCAGCAGGCAGTGAGAAATGGCATGCTCTCCTTCACAGCAAGAGGATTTGAGTATCGGAGTAAGGATGTCTTGCTGCAGTTATACAGGACCTTGGAGAGGTCGCACCTGAGTATTGTGCGCAGTTTTGGTTTCTTAGACTGAGAAAGGACATTCTTGCTATTGAGGGAGTCCGCAGAGGTTCACCAGACTGATTCCTGGGAAGGCAGGACTAACATATGGGGAAAGACAGGGTCGACTGGCTAGTATTCACTGGAATTTAAAAGAATGAGGGGTGGATTCATAGAAACATATAAAATCCTGGTGGGACTGGACAGGCTAATGTTGGGGAAGTCCAGAGCAAAGAGTCATAATCTAAGAACAAAGGGTAAGTCATTCAGGACTGAGATGAGGAAGAATTTCTTCACTCAGAGTTGTGAACCGGTGGAATTCTGTACCACAGTAAGTTTTTGGGGCCAGTTCGTTAGATATATTCGAGAGGGAGCTGGATGTGGCCCTTGTGGCTAAAGGGATCAAGGGGCATGGGGAGAGGGCTGAAATGGGATACTGAGATTACATGATCAGCCATGATCATGCATTGATGGTGGTGCAGGCTCGAAGGCCGAATAGCCTACTCCTATACCTATTTCCTATGTTTCTGAACGAGTGTGGTCAAGCTCTCACAGAACCAGGATTTTTAATTTTCATTTTCAGCAGTTGTTGCTGGGGTCTCAGCAGGGTTGGAAGCAGCAGTAAATCTCTCCCGGCTGCTACACTGTCAGAATTTTCTCGTTTTTCTTCTGAGCTACTGGAGTTGCGTGTGAGACAATGTTTTCTGATTTTGCCTTCTGCCAAGGATATGTTTGTGATGCTACTATACTGGAAGAGTTAATTCATAACAATTACAGTATGTATTATTTTAAGTCTTCCAATAGAGTTGTTATTCAAATTCCTTCTTCCTCTTGTTGTATTTTAACTATAGTGGATGAATAAAGTATGTTTTGCTTTAAATCCAGTCGATTGGCCAATCAAATTGCATCTGGAATGCAATACCTTACATTAACCCTTAAAATAAGAAACAGTTGGGGTTGACGCTATCTTCTGAATATTTGAGGGGGTGTTTGTCTGGTCCATAACACTAGGCACATCAAATTGTCACGGTTCTTGTTTGCTTATAGGACCACCACATGCAAACTACAGGGATAGCACTTGGTAGAATTGCTAATAGAAAACCTTGCACCAGGCCAAGTCTAATCTTCCTGGAACTGGGGAGAGAGTGAAACTACATTGGAAACTCCAATGCCAAACCCAAAACTTTGCCAGGCAAGAGTGAGAGTTTGACACAGGGTACAAAGTTTGGTGCAACAATCATGAGGAAAAGAAATGCATGGGTAAGAGGCATGATCGACACAAGATCAAGTCCAGTAAATTATAAAGTTCAGTGTAGTGATTGGAACCAGATAAATCTTATTGACTATGACAACCTTGATTAGGGTTATTAAGCTGGGCCAAACCAGGAACCTTGGCTGACGGGGGATTCAGAATCTCCTCAGTTAAGAGACTGAGTCTGAGCTGGCTGGCAACAGCCAGTGTACTGGGCACAAGTAAATAAAGGGTGGCTTGCTGATGGATACCAGCCTCTCTGCAGTTATTTCAGTGCCAATGGGAGAAAACAGTATGTACCTCAAGAACATTCACTCTCAATAGTCGTCTTTGAGTTGGGGTAAGCATTTCTGGCATCATGCCTTTATTTGGGGAGCTTGGCCTGTTTGATCTTGCTGTTGAAGACTGGACCCAGTATGTGGAAAGAATTTCCCAGGCAAATGACTGTAGAGCAGATAAAAAGCAATGACTAATCCTTTTGATTATGTGTGGACCTATAACATTTTCGGTTATTGGGGTCTTAACTTTCCCAGAGGCACCAGAAACTAAAACCTTCCAAGTGTGGGCAGAGTTAGTGAAGGAATATTACAATCCCAATCCTCCTCTGAGATGCTATTGGTTTTATTTAGCTATTTGAGAACCAGGGGAATCTGTATTAGGATTTTTGATGTAGTTAAGGCATGTGATGTAGTGAGGCATGTGATTTTGGGTTAACCCTGAATGAGATGCTGAGAGACCATTTGGTATGTGGGATTAATGACGTAACCATGCAAAAGCACCTACTGGCTGAAGCCCAACTGGACTTAAAATGAGCACTACAATTGGCTTTGTCATTAGAAAATGCAGCAAGTGGAGCATGGGAGCTGCAGGGCATCTCAATGGAAGTTGAAACCCTCAACAGTCAGACTGAGCTTGGGAACGCCACTTGAGTGGAGGCAATCACACAGCCAGTCTGTCCAAGTCACCCTGCAGCCTCTTAGCAGCCTCTTTACTGCACACACTGTCACCCAGCTTAGTATTTCCCTGACTTCACCTGACGAAGGGGCAGCCACTGAAAGCCTGTGATTTTAAATAAACCTGTTGGACTATAATCTGGTGTTGTGTGACTTCTGACTTTGTCCACCTCAGACCAACACTGGCACCTCCATCACTTTTCAGGAAGAGCTAGGGACTTGTAAAGGGGCCGAAACCGCTTCATAAGTTGACCAGGAAGCAATTTTACGGTTTTGCAAGACCCACCCAGTGCCATTTGCCTTGCAGTAAATCTCTCCTGGATGTTACACTCAGAATTTTCTCTTCTGTTTTTCTCCTGGGCTGCTGGAATTGCATGTGAGACAATGTTTTCTGAATTTGCCTTTTGCCAAGAATGTGTTTGTGATGTTCTATATTGGAACAGTTAATTCATAACAGTTACTGTATCTGTTATTTTGTTATGTTTTCCAATAGACTTGTTATTCCAATTCCTGCAGAAGCAGAAATCAGGAGGCTGGTAAGCAAAGGGATCATCAGACCAGTGCACTTTGCGAAATGGGCAGCACTGGTCCTACCAATTGTGAAGCCATGGCAGCTCTGGTTGCCTTTATGGGGATTTCAAGCAAACAATAAACCACTTATCGCAATCCCTCACAGAGGACTTGTACACAAAATTGGTTGGGGGGCGTGGGGTGTCCTTCACGAAGCCAGATATGAGACACATCAAACTGCAACTGAAGGGTCTAGGCCCGAAACGTCAGCCTTTCTGCTCCTATGATGCTGCTTAGCCTGCTGTGTTCATCCAGCTGTGCACCTTGTTGTCTCGGATTCTCCAGCATCTGCAGTTCCTACTATCTCTAACTGCAACTATGATTAGATCAGGAGTCCCAGATGTATGCCACAATTAATACCCTGAAGGATTTGTACCAATATACAAGACTGCCATTTGGGGTATCATTAGCTTGTGCCCTTTTCCAGTGGATGATGGAGCATATTTTCCAAGGGCTACTGGTTGCCATTTATCAGGATGATGTGCCAATAATCGGTAAGATCAAAACATTTCTTCCAGGTTGGCATACGCCTTAGAAGGGAAAAGTGTGTGGGGTTCCAGGTGCCCCAAATAACCTATTTCGGTTACATGTGTCAACAAAACTGGGTTACACCCATTGGAAGATAGCGTGAGGGTGATCAAAGGTTCACACATCTGTACCAGAGCTTAGGTCTTTCCTTGGGTTGGTGAATTGTTACAGGAAATTCATTGGTAAGCTGGCCTCCATCTTGGCACCCTTACACCTGCTATTGGGTAGCCAAGAAATAGACTTTAGGGAAGTGAAAAAGCAGCTATCGTCATCTAATTTGTTGGCCCACTACTATCCACAGTGAGAGGCGATGCTAACACACGATGCCTCACAGCATGGTATTGAGGTAGTGTTGGCTCACAGGTGGCCCAACAGAGAGGAACAGCCAATAGAGTATGCTTCCTGGACTTTGGATGATGCCGAATGCAAATATGCCCAAATAGAGAAGGAAGGTTTGTCAGTCATCTTTGGTGTGAGAAAGTTCCACCAATACCCTTATAGATGTGAATTTGTCTTAGTAATGGACCAAAAACCCCTGCCAGGGCTGCTTAAGGAAGACATATGGTGCTGCCCATAGATTCTGGTCAAATTCAGCGGTGGGCCCTTATTCTCAGCTCATGCACATTGGAACACCGTCTAGAAAGCCAAGTGGCCTTGAGCAGCCTCCCACTAGCAGATACACCACTGGTGGTGCCTCCCCTGGAACAGTCCGTTCTGGTTTTGAACTTTCTGGACACCCTTCTGGTCACTGTTGATAATATCTGACTGTAGACACAAAAAAGATCCTGTCCTAGCAAAACTAAAACAGCTGGTGTTAATGCGGGAAA